TGAAGGGTAGTTCCTGCACATATGACATCTGGTCGCATTCCGGTTTCAAACAACCAAACAGTGTCATCTATCAACCTTTAAATGGTGACATAGATAATTGTCATCTATTTAGCTCGTTCAAGTTATTTTTCTATTTATTTGCTCCACTTTTGCATAGATATGCATAAGGATGGGTGTGTACACTTACGCAAATCAACCTCACATCTTTTTTTTTTAGATCTTATGACTAAAGAGCCTACTTTTACCTGGCCTACCACTAGTATTAGCACCAGCGAATTTGAGTTTTTCTTTGTGTGGAATATAACCTATAAATAAAACAAATAATTCACAGTTCCCAACCAATTCATTAGCAAACGTTTTATGTCATAGTTGCGAGATATGTCGTACTTGAACAATCTAGGAACAACAGTTCCGTTATTGGATCATCATAAACTACATCATGACGAGTTTCATTTGCCTGAGATGCAGACCGTTGATCTTGCGACCACAGTGAAGAAGGAATGTTCGCTTGATTTTTCTAAAAATTGGGATGACCAATTATATATATATATATATATATATTTATATATATATAAGGGAACGAAGTGTATATTTAAAGACTTGCTTTTCCGTGTTTTGGCACAATAATAGCGAAATCTAAGAGACAATAATGCCAAGGAAAGTATGGGGTAAGTTAATAAACCAAATCATAACGTAAATGTGAAGAAATAAAAGTGGGTGAAAAGGTAACTTGCCGTGGGCAGGAACCGAACCTGCGACCTTCGAATGATGCGTTCGATGCTCTACCACTCAGCTACCATGGCGGCTATCCTCCCAGCCACTTTATTAGGTATATAAGTGAATATATATATATATATATATATATATATATATATATATATATATATATATATATATATATATATATATATATATATATAATATTCCACATATCCTCTAAGAAAACAATATTGCACAGTTTTTGAACACATATTAGTACACATATTAATATTTGAACATAAGTGGCAGATGCCAACGTGGAAATAATGACATGCATGTAATGTAAGTCATGACTCATGACTACACGCCACGCTCATGGTGCACTCGTAGTCATTTCGCTAGCTTCACATATACCAAATTAAGTGTTACGTGGCGTCATGGGATGATGAAAGTGTGTCAAAAGCGCAAACATCAAAAACATGACATAGGTGTCGTGTAAGAACATGACAACAAACCCCACTCATGATGTGCTCACGGCCGTTTGGCTAGCTTCACGCATACCAAATTTGGTGTAACGCCACGCGAACGAACAACCAAGGAAATTACAGGTCGAAACATGATAATCATGACATGCGTGTCATGTAAAACCTGACTACATGCTACGCTCATAGTGTGCTTGCAGTTGCTTTAGTTGTTTCACATTTAGCAAATTTGGTATCGCGTGACGTGAATAGACGACGAGGGTAAACGACAAGTCCAAGCATGATAATCATGATTCATGACATGGAAGTCGATATACAGCATAATTTACGTCTGCCTCGTAACTTTGCGCTGATTTCAAAGTAAAACATTAACCTTCCTCATTTGTGCTTCACATATCATCGATTCTCACTGTACTTGGGATCTGCCAATTGTTTTTTCCGCGTGTTCTCTCTTACATGTTCAATCCCATGTGCTCTGGCTTCATGTCTGCTAAAGTGTGACACGCAATTACGCGTCGATATCCTGTCACACCTGCTGGTCTTTATAGTAAGTGCAAAGCGCGTTAGCTGCTACAATTCGAGGGTTTATTATATCAACAAGTATCTGCCTAATGTAACTTAAAACAAGCCAAGTAATTTAAAACTGCGCTCTTTCCTGTCTCCCTTGTTCTTCTTCAAGTTTGTGCAGCAATCCAATTTTTCAAGCATGAACCAACTAGTCTGCAAAAAAGTAAAGCCAAGTATCTTTCGTAATTCCTTTGCCGAGGAAAAAAAGCACTTACCCAAGGGTAGTGAAGTAATGGAGAGATGAGTATGGTTAACTAACTCACCGCTTTAAAAGGTTGTTTCACACAGTTTCTGCCCCGCGGTGACGGTCTAGTGGTTAAGGTACTCGGCTGCTGACCCGCAGGTCGTGGGATAAAATCCCAGTGGCGGCGGCTGCATTAGCGATGAAGGCAAGGGTGCTGTAGGCCCGCGTGCTCAGATGTAGGCGCACTTAAACCCCAGGTTGTCGAATTTTCCCGAGCCTTCCTCTATGGCGTCTCTCATAACCATATGATGGTTTTGGGACGTTAAACCACACATATCTATCTATCTATCTATCTATCTATCTATCTATCTATCTATCTATCTATCTATCTATCTATCTATCTATCTATCTATCTATCTATCTATCTATCTATCTATCTATCTATCTATCTATCTATCTATCTATCTATCTATTTATCTATCTATCTATCTATCTATCTATCTATATTTCAATCTATCTATCTATCTATCTATCTATCTATCTATCTATCTATCTATCTATCTATCTATATATCTATCTATCTATCACGCATTGTCTTCTCAAATTGCAGCGACTGCTGTCGTTCCAGCCGCTTGATATGAATATAGGCTGGTGTATTCTCTACAGTGTTCAACCTAAGACGCAGATGTTCATGTGGATCTAGAAATATTCGTAGCTGGTGTATTAGGAGATACGCTAAAGTAGAATTGAAGTTTCTTATTAATATGCTTAGTGCTTCATTATTCCTGTCAGAACTACCGACTGACTTGACAGCTAGGATTGCCTTAGGTCATGAAATGACATTTCTTGGTAGAATATTACCATACTATGTGTTATCTGTCATCAGGCTTCGAACTCAATTATAGAGCGCAGCATTTCTGAAGCCGACAACCATATTTTTAGAAAAGAGCTCAGTTCTGATGAACTCCTAGCCCGGCTTCAAAAGAGGATACTCGAACGTCACACAGCATGTCACTACGGCTCATCGCATCATGTTTACCTTTCACAGGAAATGATAAATGGACACAAGTTTCAATTCTTTAAAGCAATAAATACTTTCCCACCGGATGACTTAATATTTACACAGGAACATCCAGGAATATCTGAAATCTTTGAAATGGTTATGCCTTTAGTAGCTGATTATTGACCTTACCACATGCAACTATTTGAGATATGTGGTGAAAAATTCGTCTGCCTTCCAGACACGTAAGGAAGGGCGGCAAGACAATGTTGTCGACTTCGTTATTTCCGCGTTTGAGTTTGAAATTATTCTACCATGTGGCAGATATCGTATCTATTAGCACAGTACATACGTGGTTTGCTGGGACGCAAAAATTTGTGTACTAATTCACAGGTGAAAATGACAAAACTTCAAAATTACAAATTTACACTCAGCGAACAGCGACAATGCCAACGGAGAGACACGAATGTGGCCCTTGATAGCAAATAATGAAATACACACACGAAAAAGTTCACAACAACGCAATGAATAATTGACACTAATTATTCATAGGAAAGATGACTCAACATTTATAAACAACATAATCAGAACATTCTATTTACCATATCAGCTTTAGATAATATAGGCCACCTTTCAGTTGTTCGTTTCCACCCATTCATTACACTCGGAAGACGGTAACTAAATGTTCGGAGTCTGTAATTACAACGAGGATGCGCTACGTGTCAATTCTGCATACCGAGTGAGGTGACTGACAGGGTTTGGTTGCTAGTCAGCGACGTACAGTACGTGAGAGAGCACGTCTACTGCGTCTTTGATTTATGAAGTTGACAAAAGCTGGTATTCGTATAATACCTGGTTAAAGTTAAAATTGCATAATTCGTGAACAATGTGTGTGCGTCATGTGGTACAACGTCAGTGAACTCTAGGGCATCTTTTGTGCCAAGGCCAGGTTTTGCAATGATATTTTATAGTCTATCAATCATACCAGATCACAATAATGTAAATGTGAAGAAAAAAGGGGAGCACTGTATAATAATATTTTACAGGGGAGCTGTTAAGCGTTTTGTTAAGCCATTTCGGATCCACTTAAAATGAGCAGGCAAGCTCTTTATCAAGTGGGATATCAAGTGGGATCAAGCGGGATGCGAGCCAGTGGTCTAAAAAATACACCTAAAACTCTACAAAACTTATGACTATAGTGTGTTCGGTATAGCAATTCTATGTCAGATGTTTTATACAAAATGTACAATGTCTGTGTAGACGAGAGTGTAAACGTGAGCCAACGTAAGGATGTTAGTAATGCTGAAGTTGAGTAGAGAGCGCCAGAGGTCAGCAAAAAATGTAAAGCTCCCTGAGACTCACTGCAGATTTATATTTTGCGATCAGAGCTCACCCGGACTTAGTCTCACCAATGTTTTCTCAGACGTGGGTTCTTACTTTTTAATCCTTGTGTTACTTTCTATATGGTACTGATTCAGGGGTCATGCGTTTTTGCTTGCCCGGCGTTTAAAGACTAACGCTGTGATAATCACGTCGAGAAGCATGTCCAGCTAGGTTCATGAGATGGTCGACGGACAAGAACTTGATGAGGAGAATTGTCAGAAGACACGCACAGCGCTAAACTTACAATAACAAGTTTTTTTAGTGATAGACTATACTGATGACCGCAAAAAGACTAGAAAATTTGAATTTCGATCTTTCTGATCTCACTGTTGCGAACTTGTGGTGTTTTCTGAAAGGTCAATTTTTGTACGAACGTGGTCACAAAAGCCCCCCTTACGCCGTTCTTTTTTAGAAAACGCAGACACTTGACTTAGTGTGTATGACTGACTTTTAAAACAAGGGCGAAATTTAAACCCGCTTAGAACAACATTGTTGCACCAATCCTCAAAAACGTAATTTTAATAAAGCATCTTGCTGATATAGACGAAAGAGACCTTCATAAATGGTGATGTCCAAACAAGTTTGCTAATCTTCAATGCCTATTTTACGGGAATTAATATGACAAATTAAAGTTCATAGATCTCATTTTTGAAATCCAACATTTTTTTCTGTTTCAATTGTGCAGGACACGTGTCTGCTGCTGCCACTTGCTCGGCGGTGATGCATACCTGTTTGGCCACCGAGCAGTGCCTCACGTCTGTCTGAGATGAACCGTGCCCGCGCTTAAGCGCAGCCGGCACCCTGTTGCCCAAGATACTTGTGAAGCTCGCCAGCCCCGAGAATGACGTGTGCTCTTGCAGCGACCACCTAGTGTTCCTGGCGCAGCGCGCCATGGCTGCAGTGCGGCAGATGTCAGTGCCACAGGCGGGGCTGGAAGCAGAGGAGCGGGCTCGGTCGCCATCGCGCGACGAGAGTCGTGGCTCATCCAGCCCTCGGCGCTCAGCCGTCATCCCGGAGAGCACAGTGGTTGTAGCCGAGCCGCTAAGCAAGAGTGCCTCGCAGCCATCAAGCTTCAAAGTCAAGCTCACACGTCGCGACACCTCCAACAAGCTCGTAGTAGACTCGACTGCCGTCAAAGCGACCACCAGCTCCTCGGACGGTGAGAGATGCAAGCCGAAGCCAAACAAGGCTGCGGGTTGGAAGACTTCTAAGTTTTTCAGCAAGACGATGTCTTCGGCCGAGCTCCTGCGTGGCCTAAAGAAGCTCTCGGTGAACACTGCTACGACGAGCACCTCTGATGACCCGGACGCAAAACCTCCTTCAGGAGGGAAGGTTAAGTTTACGATGAAAAAACGCAACTCGTCCAGTGACTCGGCCGTCAACAAAGACCGCTCACCAGAAGGGCTGCGCAGCGGAGAGGGGTCGAGGAAGTCTTCCCGAGAGTCTTCGGACGGTTCGCCCAACGTGTCCCCGCGAACGAGTATCGACGAAGGAATCGTCTGCAAAAAGGAAGACATCCTTTCTCTCATTCATCACAACACGAAAAAGAAGTCGTCTATTGGCTCCGTCACAGTACCGGTCGCCGGTGCCACTTCACCCAAAAAGCTATCACTGCGAACGACGCGTTCGGCAACCATTGACCCTTCAGGCATGGCCACCGACCCTTATGAGCCGACGGCCGAAAATATCCCCAGGATCGTGTCTACTCCGCCAGCACCTCGCAGGGGATCTACCACCCTTGAGCGCAGTACCAGTGAAGAGGCCAAACCGAGCAAGTCGAAGCGCAACAGTGTGTCTGGCAAAAGTGCACCCCAGAGGTCCCTGGAGGATGCGCCGTCCTCTCCAGCGGATGAGTCAAGCGTACGCAAATCCAAGCGGAAGCAGTCAGGTGACGCTGCTCGCGAGGTCAAGAAAGAGACTAACGAAGAAGGCGTCAAGGAACCACCAAAAAAAGATGAGTCGCAGGTCAAGTGGGACGAGGGCAATGTTGTAGATGCCATGCTTCTAGGGGACGCCATTGAGGCATTTCTTAGGGGCTCCATGGGTGGCACATCGGCTGCTATGCCTGCAACGCCCAAGAGGGTCTCTTTCAAAAAAACGTGAAACGTTTTTTTTCTCCATGTGTCGGACATGATGGCATGCCAAAGGAGAATATATCGTTTTTAACCGGTCGGGGCTAGAATATTGACACTTTCATGTTCTTTGGCGTGAAGAAAGCTGCATTTGAAAGGAATCTTGGCTGTGCTCTCTGCGAGTTTCATGAAAAAAGAACAGAAACTGGGGTATTTCTTATGTTACAGTTCACTTAGTGCTGATACCTAGCTTTTTCCCGAAAGCGTTTCGAGCTGGGCATTTAAACTGTTACGTAGGCATGTCATCGTTGTTGTCGTTGTTCTTTTTTTGCACATAGGTGTATGAAAGCTGTGTGTTCCTACTTCATATATCTAAGTGCCATGACCATGGGTAACGTATGCTTGAACTGTGTGTAATGGGATCTAGCAGACCAGTCACGGTCGGGATCGTCTCAAGTAAGTACATCCTGCTCATATTAAAAAACAATCGAGAATTGATGCTATTGATCTCAGCCGAATGTAGTCACCTCAACTTTGACTGCCGTCTGCCGGTCCTTGCTGTTCCGTAAAACCACGTAGTTTGCACATCACCCCTGTAGTAAAAGCACCTGGTAATGTTATACGTCATCATGCATTCTTCACTGTTTCCGGCTTATTTTCATCCTTTGTATTGTTTCCTCCCACAGCCGATAGGAAAACGAAGACATTTGACTTCTTCTTGTGGACAGATTACGTTGCAGCTTTTTTACCCAGTATAATACTTCACTGTGCCTGTTTACTATACAGAAAAAACTTAGCATCGGAAATCCGCAGCTATAGGCACCTCAAAAATTAGATGTTTCCTGACTTAAGGGGTCTTACTGTGATTCATGTCGCATTTCGAAAGCAGCCTTGAGGTAACAGGACTAAATGTTGTACATAATGTGCACTATAGCACTGTTACCAGTGCTGTTTCGCTAGGTGACTGTCTAGTTATTGGAAATATATGCGAGCCACGCGTGTTGATAGAAAATTCTGAATAAATGCTCAAAGTTGTATTTGATATGTGTCGGGCAGTGTGTTCATGTGAACAGACCACTAAACGTTATTAATAATGCTTCTTTACTAATAATGCTTCTTTTACGCCTAGCAACCCCGTGGCATAAATCTATAGCATAAAACCGAAAGTTACCGAGCAATATATCACACTAATTCTGGTAGAAATTTCTTTCACGGTAGCGCAATAAGGCTGAAAACAAAGTCGTTGATTTCTTCAGCAATTTTACCGGTGAATGCCACTAGTAAGACCACTGCTGTCTCTAAATAGACATTCTAGGTGCTACCAGAAAATGACAAATTGTGTTAGGTTAAAGGATTGTGTTAGGACAAAGCACCTTGTAACAAGGAAGTTTACAACAGCAACTCTACATTGATTGTTCTCACATCAAACGCAACTTCACTCAAAATGCGAACCAAGTTGCATTCAAGGAAACTACCGTAATTCTCACGTTAGGGAAACTACAGAAAATAGGCAATACAATCGCCTATGAAACGTACAAAGAAATACTAACTACAGCATGCAGAAATACACAGGCCTATATTACATACTCTGAAAGTTTTATGAGTACCAGGTCTGCGACTGACTACTCGAATTCCGTGGTATGGAAAACATGGTACTAGACCGAGACGTAGTACTTGGACTTTCAAGACGCGTTGCGTCATTCTGTGTGACACCGGATGCCAAGAGGGAGCGAAATTTGGCTACAAAGGCTATGCAGTACCTATAACAATTTCGTTTTTTCTCCTGTTTATTCGTGTTTTTTTTTTCAGAAAATGGAAGCGCTGATAAAATCTGGTCGCAAAAAGGCACACTTTTCTGCAAAAATAGAGTAATATGTCGGATATGGCCCAATGACGGCATTAATTACGTCATCTGAACGCACGATCACAAACGTAACGTTCTCGTCTTTCATGATCTAAAACAGGCTAGTCAGTCGCATCTCTAAACTAGCGCCTTACGAGCAGTTTTACTATGCCACATCTAGCTCAAGTTTGCGATTACTTGTGTTTTCTTGTACATCGTCGAACTTCAGAATCAAGAATGAATATTGACAAATGTAACTCGTCGAACAGAGGCTGGCGAGCAAAGAGAGAGAGATATATATATAACTTTATTTTTATCCTTGCTGAGGTCAAGGGAGCCGGGGACAACGATCCTAGATCTACCAGAGCACTCCTTCTTAAGGCGGCGGTAAACCTTGGGCGTTGGCCAGGTCCTGGCATTGGGCAAGATGCAAGCTACGCGCAGAAGCGCATATCCTTCTAGTATTCTGGGGAGGTTATCCTAAACGTAGGCATGACGCTGGGCTTGATGGCATCTGCATGTCGCTGCGGGACACGCCTGGATAATGTGGTCGAGATTGGAGCGAGCCTCTCTGTAAGCTTTGTATAAGCATCTGAGCCTGTGCGACCATAGAAGGGCGAGTATCGGGAAGGTTTGTATTTGTATTAGTTGCCATTTATTGACATCGATGCTCTGCGCGGCTAGAGAGACTTATACGTTGCCGCACCAAAATGTCGTTTGTAGGAGCAGCCGTTGCGTATATTTTAGAAAGAGCCAGAATTATAGGTAATTGTCGTGAACGTAGCCATTTTGTTCACTTCTATCACCAAATGTATAGCTAAATAGAAGTGATGGTATTTGTAGAATTTTTATTATCGCATAATAATGGGTATCTTGATTAAGCAAGGCCATCAACTATATAAGAGCACCATTTTTTTGTGTGACGTTCAAGCCTAAAACATTTGCAAAACAAACTTATAACTTGTAATAAATTAAGTGCGCCAGCATGTAATTGAGGTAGGAGAAGTAGCGCTCTTGCCAGATAGCGAACAGTTTTGGAGAATTCAAGACAGCAATAGGGACGCTAACAATTGAAGCAGTTTTATATAGTCCGCCAGTACAGCTTCAGATTGCAAAATCTGGTTGAAGACCTTCAGTTTGTTGAGATGTTTGTTTTTTCTAAACTCACACGAGAACACGCGCTGCGCTTCAGAATCAGAAACAGCGCGCTATTAGCATATAAGGGGGGCAGCATGAGCTGCGTTATCTTTTTAGATGGTAGATATACATACACACATGTTCAAGGCGAATGAAGAACAGCGCAAAAAACAGGACAAAAGGGCACAGAAATTGCCTGGTCCGCCCTGTTGTCTTGTGGCTTGCGCTGTCTTTAGTTTTCTATGAGCAGTGTACAAATGACTCTTTGCCAACATGCGTGCAACTTCCTCTGTGTTTGCAGGCGTGCAACGCGTCACCCTGAGATAATTCGATGTTCACCAGCGTTATAGTATGGGTGGGTGAAGGAATAGAGGGTGAATTGTGTGCGCGAGTCGGCTGACACTGCAGAAAAGCTGTGTATGTTAGAGCATTTTATCTGCAAATATAATGAAAAATGTCTATTGGCTGCACCAGTACACAAGCTAAAAGGAAGGAGAGAAGAGAAAGAGAGGCGCGCATGCGCATAACGGTGATCACGCCACGCTGCGGATTGAGATCGACCGTAAAATGCTTCGAACCGTTGGGTACTCGGGGTTGATGGCATTTCACTGCTGCCCCCAGTTGTGAAGGGGTGTGGAGGTTCGGCGGGCTTTCGTAAACTGCTGCCCCCAGTTGTGATGAGGTGTGGAGGTTCGGCGGACTTATTTACGATAGCTAGCTCCCCACCATTGTCCACATAGCGGATGTTCGCCAGTGAGGAGACGCATTTTTAGAGTCATAGCGAAGGTTTATTTGCATGATGGAAAAGAAATGAAACTGTACAGCGATTCAGCAATCTTGTACAAAGGCCCTTCATTTCTTAACACGGCAGCCCCACGAAGGTAGTGACCACTGTTGCCTCGAATCACGTGACGTTAAGTTTCAGTGATCTGCACCAAGAAGGGTGCAAACATTGAACCACTCGCTGATGAAGAACGCGGGAAAAATGTCAAATGGGTAACACGAGCGCACCACACAATGACACAACCAGCCTACGCCTTGAAGCTTCTACGCAGGGTGAGGAGGTAGAGTAAGAGAAAAGGGAAAGTTGAGCTCCTATTCCGGGAAGATGACCGCTGACACGAACGTCAGCAGTGGTGCATGGCTACGTTCAGGTACACTGTTCTAGAACTTTTTAAAACATAGTTCAGATGCTCGATTCCTGAGAACTGCTACGGTGACGCCATCTCACGCTTCCGAACCGTTGGTGCTTTGTCACGTCCCCGGGTAGGCGACAATGGCTGAGTGGAGGTGTTGACCTCATGAGAACTGCAACAGTGACGCCGTCTCGCGCTGTTCATCCCCGCACTACAAAGGGTTGTTGGCGAAGCTTCTGTCAAATTTCTTGTAACCCCACCACAGCTGACTGCCTGGCCCACCCGCAGGACGGCGTCGTGTTGTCTGCTTCCGACCAGGCGCCCGTATCGGGGTGAAAGCGTTTTTGAAGACAGGCTCTCACGCAATGGCGCCTGCTAAGACGACCTGCCGGGCCAAAAGTTACAGCATTTTACGACATACAGGTATACACAAGACAAGAGCTAGCTAACTGTCGTCGTTTTCAGCTCCACTGGCCCTCCGTATGTATGGATGTTCTTTTCACGTGCCCTTTTTTGCGTTTGAGCATCACGCAGCAGGCATGGGCGTAGCCATAAACGTTTTTCGGGTGTGGAGGTTCAACCATACATTATTTATTATGTTCATGCGTGAATTTGTATGTGTGCGTGTATATATGTGCAAGCAAAGTTGAAAGTTTTCGGAACGTTTTAACCCCTCCCCTGATTGCGCCCATGGCCGCTGGTGTTTACTAGGCCCAACGCATTTTATTCCGTATTCACAAAACGTTCTTATACTTGTAAATCCAACTCAAGAGATCCTTAAGGACTGTTTTGCGTTGCAATTTCCTCAAAGCGAAAAGTCTCAAGGATCCGTTGAGGTCAATTTTCAAGTCGAGGAATGTTGTATTGTAGCTCTTCTGGATATCAGCGTGATGTTTTTACAAACTACGTTTCTTTACTAAACACACACACACACACACACACACACACATATATATATATATATATATATATATATATATATATATATATATATATATATATATATATATAAAGGAAGTGTATACCTGAGGGCTTGTTTTTTTTTGTTTTGACACAATATCAATGAGATCTGACAATAATGCCAAGGAATGTATAGGGAAAGTTATTAGAACCAATGTAATGTAAATAAGAAGAAAGAAAAGTGGGTGACTATATATATATATATATATAAATATAAAGGTATGGGATATGGCACAACGGGAGCGTTGTCAACAAGGATAAATATATTTATTTCCCAACAGTTTCGGGAGGGGACCTCCCTTCATCAGGGGATGAGTTATACTGACATGAACTTCCTTGCTGCCGCGTCCCTCTCGCCTTGAAAGACGTTTGCGAGAGTGAGAGGGAACTGGAAGAAGGAAAAAAAAGAGAGAAAAAAGACGAAAAAAGAAAGAAAAGAAAGAAAGTAAAAAACAGGAAGAACCACTGTCAACACTGAAAACGAAGCCAACTGTCCGTCTACATCAACCTATGGTTCATATCACGTGCTGTTCAGTTCTTGGCGTGTGTCGGGCCACCCAAGATTGTCGCCGCGGTGCCGGGAGGGTCCGGGACGGCGTGCCTAAAGAAAGGGGTTTCCCCGTAATTGGTCGTTTGGTCGTTCGGCGGGCGGCGGGCGGTGTGTGTAAAGGAAAGGTTTCTCGTTAATGGGTCGGTCGGCTATTTACCTTTAATCTTCGTCCGTTTCCCTTCAACGGTCATGAAGTGGTAGGCGAACGTAAACACTTTGTATGTGCATTTGAAGAAAAAAAAAAAAAGAAGAGGACAGTGTACACGTACGAGTCAGTCAGAAAAAAGCATGGTCTCCAGCTATCAATCTTTGTCACCAATTTTCTCCTGGCTTACTTCTCGGAGGCAGTTGAGTTTTCCGGGGTCCTCATTGATACCGGCTACTAATGTACGAAATTTGAAAATAAAATATGCCTCAC